TTTGGCATGGAAAGGCCGGTAAGACGTTTTCCCATTTCTAAATATTCACAAGCGATCGATGCGAGAAAATCGTGCTCCCCTTCTCGCCGTATCTTCGACGACCTTGGACGGGGGGAAATTTCGGTGTGGAAGCCAAAATCCCGAACGGACCCCAACGAGACGACTTCTCGCGTATAACACTCTTAGACTTTTCACGCTTAAGTAAGGCTCAAGTAAGCGTTCCTCCCATGAATGAGCGTTACGAATGGATTTTAAGCGTCCTTGCTGATATTTTAGGCGTTCCTCTGCCAGTGATAAACCCAGTCACGCTTATTTCAACGTTTCCTCCCGGGAATGAGCGTGACAAAACTTTTAGAGTTATCGCTCTCACGCATATCCCCTTTCAGCGTGACGAAGGTCGACAGATGCCACGCTAAAAAAATCTATTTAAATTTCAAGTTCACCTTCTGTGAGATCTGACTGGATTTGCATGAATTCTGCTACAAAATTGTCAAAGTATATTCTAATAAATATAACTAGGAAGGAACGATACAACTTTTACAACTTTTAAAGTATCTGCACCCATACATACAAATCAGATATCAGAATGGAATCTGAACCTCAATCAGGCAGATACGACTCTGTGAAAAAGTCATGAATCACTTCCAGGGCCCCTGGAAACCCTTGGACAGCCCTGATCACTTCTGGCCAAACCTGCTAATATTCAACAGCAAAGACATCAAAATATAGTACATTATGTACGTCATGAAGACTGCAGAAATCGACGTTCCCACCAAATGGAATCAGAATTTGTCAAGGAGTGCAGGGAGTGCGCTTGCGTGCAGTTGTATGTGGTTGCTACTCGTTGATACGTGGACACAGTGGATATCGTGTTCCTCCGCCACCAGCCCAATTCCGGCCAGTTTAGATTATCCGGGCTCGGGCGTGTTCCTCAATCTCTACTTTACACCTCTTTTCCCTGGCGTAACCTTGATCTGTATGTATCAAATCATAGGCCTAAACACTATACGTTACATGGTGAGTACATTTATGGAAAACATTAGTCTTTTTCCTCTATTAAACCTTGGCTATGTGCTTAATATACTTGGCGTTGGCCAGACCTAGCTTAAAGGATGCATCGGTATTCGATGATAGGCATAACCAAAGTATTATGAATGATGAAGTGAAGTAATGGTTCAGAAGACGTTATGACAGGCTGTTCATTTGGTCACGTCTATTATGGCCTACTATGCCTACATCACCTTGGTGGGTTTATGAAGTCCATGCTGAGTGATTTGATCTGTAATATGTAATAACATTTGTAACTTAGGTATGAATTCCCTTTTCCCATACAGGTTTAGTAAAAGCTTCTGATGATTTGCAATATATAATGAATCAAAGGTGTTCTATGCTGTCAGTGGCAGCAACTGGTGCAAGGACTATTTGCATAATCTGAGAAGGAATGAGAGAGCATTTCAATGGCTCATAATCTTCATCCACAACATCTCAGAGAAATTGCATCAGATGAAGAGCCAACACTTATGTACTGTCCGGTGGTTTTCCCATCTGTCACCAGTCTCTTAAGGAGTGATTTCCTCTGGCAAAATGCCTTCCAGCAGAATATGCATGGGGTCATAGAGTAGATCCCTGGTGATGGAGTAAAATGGTATCTCAAGGAGAATGCTTCCATTCTAGACACCAAAATCTTTTGATAAGGCCTTGTATTCAACAAGATCTTTTGGCTCCCAATGCAATTACATGCTGTTTATGTTGTTCATCTATGCGAAGAGGGCACTCACCATGTGAGTGAAACTTACTAGCCTCAATTAGGCCTGTTCTGCATGACTGATAAGCAGATGGAGAGAAGCATTCCTTAAAACCAGCAATATTGTGGCAGGCAAGTGAATCCCAAACATAAGCAAGAACCACTCCATTGAAAGTTTTCCCTCTTTGAGTTGTAGTGAATTTGATTCCTGAAGTGGCTGGCAGCAGGATGGTGGACTTGAAGTAATTTAACAGCTCAGCCTTCAATGCTGTTAATTTCACAGCATCAGTGTGGTGCAATGAGGTGAGAATATGTGATACCTCTAAGAAATTACAGCTCATTTTACATTTTGAACAATATTCTCAAAAGTAAAAAAGTAAGAAAAATGTTTAAAAAACTAATCAAGATAAAAAAAGCCAATTCCACCTCCTCCATATTAATGTCAATTTCTCTACAATTATTGAGAGAGGCGCGGGCCGTGAATTTTAGTGCCACAATTTGAAGAAAAGGCTGAGTGTCACTTTCATATAAGCGTGAGTGAACGTTGAGAGCCACTCTTATTTAAGCGTGAATGAACGTTGAGAAGGGAACGTTCAAAGGCCCCCTCTCATTTAAGCGTGACATTTTAAACAATTTTGTCACGCTTACTTAGCGTCCCTTTCAGCGTGATGAGAGTAAGAGTGTATCAGACGCGAGATGTGACGCAGGCCGAGCGACACACGCAAACAGATTCGACGAGCGGGTGAAATTCCAGCAAAAACGACTCCTGGACTTCGCCTGTCAGACATTATCATTATCAAGAGAGAAATCTCTCTTCTCAAATGCAGTCGTAATGTAATCGTGGAACTGTTAGCACGAGTCGTGTCGAAACCATTGGGCTCCGAATCTCTCCATCCGGATGCTTAGCTCAGAGACCTGGCGGTTCTCACGGACCGCGGCACACCGCATTATCTCGGTGAGACTCGGAACACCGGCCGCAAGAACTTAATCGAAGCAGATCGTATCCACGACCTAATCCTTTCAATCGTCGCCCATAGTTCGTGACTGTAGATGAAGATGGGGTGGTGAACGCTCTTTCATACCGAAAATATTGTCTCCTTGAAAATGTCAGATTTGGCAACCTCAGCCCTCCATAATCCCCCCCCCCTAAGCTTCCTGATCCCACGCGCCATCTCTTCCTCCTGGACGATGTCCTTAAAACACCCATTCGTGGCCTTCCTCATCGGGTTCGCAACCGAAAACGGAAGGGAAATAATGTTTGCTCGCTTCAAGTAGGTCAAGCCCTCCTTACCCCTCACTTTCTTCTCCCCCTCCCCTTATCGTTTCCCAATGATGGAATGTTGACTCCTGCCGCTAGCATATGTCTAAGCGTCGAGCTTATCGCTGGCTAGACGTCTGTCCCCTGCATATACGATCTCATTTCCTACTCGAATGACCTCGTTGGGATATTTCCACTCGGTTCGAGTGCAGGTGCGCCGATGCGATTCGAGACTGCCGTGAATCAGACAGGTCGAACGAGAGAACGTTAAATTGTAAAATCTATTTTTCTAAATGAAGGAAGGGCTACCCGTGGCCCGCGGGCTGCATATGGCCCGTGGACTCGCTTCTAGCGGCCTGGTAATGGTTAATGGGATAACAGGTAAAATAAGTTCCTTTGCGACCTAAGGCCCATCACAACTTTTATCATCCCATTGTAACTTGAAATTAACTATGAATCCTTTCACTTACTAATCCTAATTTTTCCTCACGCTGGCGGTGTTGCAAATGTCCCGAGGATAGAGGTTCTCCATGGCAAAGTTAATTTTTGGCGTTGGAATTTCCTTGGGACGGGGGGGTTGGAGAAGGCAATGGTCGTCTGCCCATTAGTGAGACCTTATGCCTACATATGCCTTGAGGGGATAAGAGAGGGACCTTTTCTTTTACATTCTATCAGAGTCAGACATTTCCATGCGGCTCACTACCAATAAAGGTTGCATACCCTTCATCTGAATGGATATGTTCGACCCCCTCAGGATTCATCTTCCTAAACTTACCAGTTAGTGAGTTTCTCGAGAGATATCGTCAATGTCATCTTTCGACGATGAGATTTTTAATCAATCTCGCAAGTATGACACAGATCAATGAATTTCTGAGAGGCGTCATCGTTATAACTCGATTCTTGGGAGCCCTCGTTTTTTCCTGTGAAAAGTATTGGGTCAAGATGTCATTTCCATTAATTCACTCCTGATGTCTCCGCAACTTTAGAATTAGAGAAAGCATTGACTTCCGCAATGCTATGTGAAGCCCATGCGTCTTCTCTGAAATTTCTGCATGTAAAATCGCCTTGCATAAATTCATAAACACGCGGAAATGACTAAATTCAAAATCTACCCAAAGTTGACAAAGATGGTTTTATTCAAGCAATGAAGACGACTTGAGACACTCAAATTTTCTCTCGGCATTCCTAAAGTGTGGAATGCAGAGTATAAGCAGCCTTGGCAGTAAGGAACTGGGTTTTGCCAAAAAATCCAGTTCTTTCATGTTTTTCCTCTGCATTCTGGTTTCCAATGCAGTTGAAGCCTAGAATGGTGGCAAAATAACTTTGCTGAGTTCCTCGGCCTGAACCAAGGAGACTGACAAGAAATGTCAACTTACATGAATACCTTTAATTGCAGACAAGAGTTTGAAAAATCAAGAACTCATAAGGCAAAATGAAATTTTTAATTTTTCCTAAAGATGCATACTCAACTCTTTCCCAGCTGCCTCCCCTAGAGAGTGCTACTCGGGAAATCCCTTTACTTCCCCCTCCAGAGATGAAGACACTACGGTTAAAACCATCATTCGTGATCGAGTAAGAGAACTTTGCATTGGTTATGTGCATCCAATAATGTAAGGGGTTCTCATTGGGAATATGACCTTGTTTATCGCCTGGGCTCCATGATTCTGTCTCGAATATGGGGATAATAAATGATTAAATGTCAGATTTTATTGATTGCTATAATGAAACTAGAAATGACAAATAGTGAGGTACTAAAGACTCCTGTGAGGGATGATTCCATGGAAAGAGGGAAGTGCACTTTCGTGGCGAAAAGCGAGACCCTTACCGACATCTAGTGGCATCTAGTAGAACGCCCTATGACGTACCCACGCAGACCAACTTGGTCTTCCCCAGTTGGAATGAAGTTGTCTCACAGCAGAGACACCCCAGTTGTAAGCAAGCAGTTGAATAGCAGCTGCACTTCAAAACGCAATAATCGCCTTTATTACTGTTGGATGATCACAGCAGGAAAGCACTTGGGACATTACTGAGCTTCCTCAGCTGACTTGTCTCGGCTCCTTCCCAGCTGAATCCTTGCTGGAAATAACCAGTTTCATGGCAGCTGATGAGATGCTGTTGTATCCCAGCTGCGGGACAGTAGGATTGCATTCATATCGCTATTTTCTCGCCTGTACGCTTTAATCCCAGCAGTGACACAACTGGGATTTAAGAGTTGTGTTCATTGGGCAACTTGTACTTCTGAGTGTGCATTGCGTATTTGTTATACATGGAAACATTATACATGGATACATTTGTTATACAAGGAAACTGGATTAGATTTTAGTGGCAAAAGCATTAAGAAAATTATAGTACGCCCTTCGTATTACCTCCAAGGGGGCTCCAAGCCCTGTCCCAGGGGCACCAGGGGGGCGGCTGCCACCTCTGCCCCCCCCCCCCATAAAATACGCCACTGCTCAGATCATTGTATATAAGTGATACCAGAGTTGATATAATCCTAGAACATGGTTAGGAAATTTTAGATTTATTTCTTCTCTTCTTGGAAGTGCATTGTGCGCCAGGAAACCAAATAATACAAAATGAGTCAGAATAAATACTTTCCTGTCCATATGAGGAAGATATTCCATGAAACTACAAAAAGCTGCAGGAAGTAGCAATTTCATCTTCTCGTCTTTCGAGAGATCTCTCGAGTATACTGCCCTTGTCTGTATACGATCAGTTAAAAATAAATTCATTTGAAAGTTGGTGTCAACCACTCCACTGCTCACGCAAGCGAATGGTGAGGAGTGATGCAAATAACCAGAAGCTGGCCAGGAAGCACCTCTTGAAGTGAACTGAAAGAACTTTCTCACATTGAGAAGCAATCAAATAAGCCTTTGAACACGTGACTTAATAAAATGCTTTAGATAAGCTTCAGCAGAAATTAGTGCCATAAGTTGCAGCATTAACCCCTGTGTTGATCCGTTCCAAAGTTCCATAAGTAGAGAGAATCTACTAAGATAAAAGGCCCTGTGTACAGAGGAAATTCACTCTGCAAAGTCAATCATATTCTAGGAAATGCTGGTTGAAATCATCAAAGGAGACTCCCTTCATGGTCCTAGACAGACTCTCGTTACGATTATCTCGAATTTAAAATTTTCCAATATGAAATTCCCTCTCTAAATGAAATAAATATTGACAGGAACTTTTTTGGAGGGTTCGGTTAAGGATGCAGGTTAATTAGCGAACTCTGCACTAAAGAAGAAGGGAATGCTTGCGATTTCCATTGACTGACATCAATTGAAGGTGATTGAGACTTCAGTCGCCTTTTCAATGATGCAATTTTTTTCGTTGCCAAAACGTTATATGTCCAGTAGAGTAAACCCCATCTTGACATTTAAAAATGTGACGAGTTTTCTTGCCCCGAACCGTTTATTTCTTGCGTTAAATCAGTCAATGCACTTCGCATAGCACCATATCAAGGTAACCCACTTCATCAGAGTGGCTCCCACTGCTTTGAGTCAGCCTAGTTCCTTGTTTTCTATTACAATATGATATTCTGCCTTGGGCATAATGAATGGCATCGTATAGTGACAATACATTATTTGTAAATTTAATTCAATCACTTTGCGTCACATCCAATCATATTGTATACATTCCACTGGCTAAATTTTCATTTTGACAATGGGCGGCATGCAGCCCGTGAAGAAAATGAATTCTCGAAGTATGGAGACCGGCGTTCCTAAAGGGTTACCTCTGGAGCGTTCCAAATCGCCACCTTTCCCCCTTCCATCCTTCTCACCGCCAGGATTCTGTGAAAAATTAGGAGGAAGAGGAAAATGACGAAAGTAAGGAAGAGCTGCACGTGCATGCCGTGAAACACAGGAGGAAATTCCTCTCCATCCCCAGGTAGCACAAAACATTGATTCTACGTTGATACGTTGTGGATTGAATGTATCACTGTCGACGGTTTATACCTCCATGATGCATCAGCACTGACTCCATGCGACGACTGTCACCGTTTATGCACCCACATTGGGCCAACATTGAGTTGCTCTATTCACGGTGGAAGTATCCACATTAAATCAGCATTAGTTCATCGGACAAGATCCCGCGTGTGATCTGTCTACCATTAGGATTTGTTATGTATACTTCATCAGGGTTTGTCAAATAGGTCAGTTAACCTGTCGTAATGTATTTCGATCGAAAAAAATGTTTGATTCAGTGCAGAAAAGACAAAGGCAGGAATGACGTAAATCTTGATCCTATGAAACAAGCACGAAGGCCACTTGGTGTATAATTAAATTTCTCGAGTGCATCTGATATGGTAGAGTAGTCTCAAGACATACGAAATGTTGAACAATAATAGTGTTTCAATAGAAATAATATATTTATTTAATCTTTAAGGTTATCGATTAACTGCAAGACATATTCAGATCTCGGCATCTATCATACTAATGAGAGAAAGTGTCTGTGTGAAGTTATTCCCATTGTGGACCCCCATTGCCCATACAGAGTGTCAAATTTCCTACAAATTTTGTATGTCTTTCATTGACATACATCGATCCAAAAACGAAGTGTTAATGTCACCGAACGTCACACTCTCCATGTCACGAGGGCATTTACTAAGGCTGGGAGTAGATGCAGTTTGAACAAGTCTACCCGTGGGTTCCTGAGAATTTTGAGCGGTGGCTTTTAGCTCCCCAATGCATTTGTCACTTTTACGCGATCAGAACTGGGTATACGATTGTGGTCAGACTTGGCCAATCCGTCATTTCTTGTGTACATCCAACTCTTATAGCTTCAGAACTCACATCGCCATGGTATCTTATGGAAGCTTCCTTTCTCTACAGTATGAAGATACTCTTCCTAGTCTAGCTTTTCTTTACTTTTAAGTGTCTTTGCCTCACTCCCCTTTCCCAGTTGATACCCATGAGGAACACGGAAGTCCTATTATTTTCTACCTTTTTGTTCACCTTGCTTTCACTCCTTTTCCTTATGCGACTATCTTGCCAGAGACGAAATAGTGCAACGACCACAACTGCATGCGACGTTCTGTCCGCGACGAAAACACTGGTAACCTTTTATATCATGCTTGGGATCTTAATTCACACACCTCGGTCGAACTTGTTTCAAACCATCGCTCATAAAAAATCTCTCAATTATGATGCAGAAGGTCGGACTTATTGTTCGATAAGGTTCTGTTGAATTGAAGTGTGTTGAAGAGAAACAAACTGGCTGATTAAATCAGTTCTGTTTCCCTTATTATTTATGCAGAAGAAGATCTCAGGCAGTGTTGTTGGTGCATGATTATCATGTCCAGTGTTCTCCACTTGAATATGTATTTATTTGGTTAACATGAATACCCGTGTTGGGTGATTGCCTTTGGCACATATCAAAGTATAGATAGATAATCTGAAGTAGAGACTGACGCAAGGTAAAGCACTATATCATGTCAGCATGGCTTTCAGATAAATAAAAATGATACTTCAGTAAGGAATGGGTGTTAATATCAACATCGACTCAACGTTAACTCAATGCTGAAAATAGCAATATTGCTAGGACATTCTCCATTGAACTTTATGTCAAAAGATGTCGGGCAAGATATCTGGCGAGACATTTCCTGACCTCAAAGTGTAATGCCGACAACTCGCCAACAGCAAATTACTTCGTACATATAGCCGACCCCGGTCCCCAATATTTTTGTAACTTCCTTGATATTTCCTCCACAGGACACCGGGGAAGGTATTTGCATTCCTGGAGACATTTAACGAAAGAAGCAACCCGATTCAACAAAACCCATGGTAATTCTGAGCAGGCGTACGGAGACAGGAAAGTTCTCGTGGTCATGTCACTCGCTCGACCTGATTCGAAATGAATATTTCAATCCTGTTTTTGAAGGTCGTGCAGAAAATAACAAACAGTAAACATTAGCGTACTTTCCTTCACAACGATCACTCAACTGTCCTCTTGCTTTTGCGAGACCGAGATGTCTCTCTCACCTCAAGATAGCATCGATGCCGAGCTTATTCGAGGTAGAAGGGATGTACCGGGTGTTGCACATAGATAGCCCCCCCTCCCCCGTCCACAGCCTAAACTAGCTAGGAAGGTAGGAAACGATTTTAAATATATTTGGAATCCTTCAATTTTGAATCTATTCCATCCAATTTTGCTTTTTCCTGATGTCATATGGTGGTGAAAATCATAAATTCAATGATCGCACTCATGCTATTACATTTCGAGCCCATGATGCTTGAGCTGAATTCGTAACCCATTCATGGGTTTCGAAAAAGATTAAACGTTCAGCCATTGTCTGATGAAGCCTGAAGTCTGATGAATTTTTCATTTTTATTTTGTTATCCTGATAGACCCGAGATGACGGTCATGCTCATGGAGGGGCAAGCTCTATGGATTCTTTTGGGAAGCCTTGCAAAGCGACATCACCAGGGTGTTCAAGGACGTGGAAGATGATCCCAAACTCTTTAAGCGCCTCTTTTCATTTTACCCCGTTTGTATTAAAGCTCTCTGAGACAGAGCCAGGGTGCATAACAATTATAAGTACTTGTTTAGACTCGAAAATGAGTGATCTTTCTCATGATATAATTTCAGATATGGAATGGCTCATGCCAAATACATGATAAGCCAATGTTATTCTCTGTTATTCAACGTTGTCTTAAGGTTCATGAAAATGAACTTTCAATATGTAATCAACATTGAAAAGTAAATATTGCATCAACGTTGCAATATTGCTGTTAAAGATTGATTTAATGTTGATTCACTGAGGGTGTGTCAACCGAGGTCAGATCAACACATTCAGAAGTCCCAAAAGCTTTATGAAGGACGATGGTCCCAATTAGTAACCGCTTCTTGCTCAAGTTAAATTTTTTTAAATTAAGATTTAATTTGATTACCAGAAAACAACCTGCAGCACTTGGTCCTCCTTCCACTCTTTCTCGTATCCAACTAAATTTTCTAATGCTTATTGAATCAGAAGTTAACGGTAAATTTTTGTATGTGACTCAGAACTATTAACCATACTTCAAGTAATTAAAATCAATATTGAAATCATCCTTTTAGTCCAAACGTCATAATTTCACAGCCTTCGTTGAGGCATGGAATTTTTCCCTACATCTTTTGATAATCCAAGTTACTTTTAGAATCCATTTAGGAAATAATTATGAAAGAAACCCTGTCCGTTTCCTCATCTTCACTCTGCCTTTTTGGAGGAAATAGGAGGAAATAAAAAAAATTTCCCTTACCGCTTTTCTCAGAAATGAGTACTGCTTCATCAATTCAGGTTTTCTATCATTCTTTTCCGGTAACTCGCACGCATTCTCGCAAATACTGCCTCTACTAGTTTCTTATACCGCGTTCGACAAAAATGTTAACATAATTATCAATAGTACGTGAGAAAAGACTGCATGAATGCGTTTTACAGCACACCAGGAATTCAGCATGCACTGTAGGAAATGTAAATAGGTGTACCTCCGATGAGGATCCCAGCGTTTCAGATAATCCTGTCGTGAACCGCCAATGAATTGAATGAAAAAGACCTGAGTTCATACTGAATGATGTGGAAATATCCGAAGCCACAAAGAAATTGGAATCGCCAAGGAAGGGGAAAATTTTTCTTAATCACGATGCAGTTTATCAGTGCTACACATGAGGGTATTAGCTATAGTTCCCTATATCGGTGGTGCAATTAGCTCGGGTAAAAATTTTGCGCATCGGCAATTTGTTCGCATTTCCATACTCTGATTTTGAAATGCTTTGTGTCGGAAACAATCTCAAATTTTGACGAGGGGTGGGAAAAAGAGGGGAATCTACTCACCGATGCAGTCGAGAAGCTGACGTCTCTCGTACGGCATCAAATTTTCTATAACGGGAATATGTTTCGGTATAATCTGATAGAGTACAGCCTAGTCGTTGGACATCGCTTTCCTCTTACCAAAAGTAATCAGAAGTTGGCGTCTCTCGTTCGGCCGAAGCTTGCCTGGAAGAGAAAAAAAGGATGTTAGAATATGATCCCATCCAGTTAGATAAGTCCACTTTGTGTCTCACCAAAGCTTCTCAGGAGCATTCGTGTCATGCCCGGTTGTTCATCTGGAAAGGAAATTAATATACATAATTTATGATTATATCTCATAAGACGGGGTGAGGCGGTGAGCTGGGGAGACGTCGCATTTCTCTCACCGAAGGACTTCAGGAGCCCGTGTCCCTCTTTCGAGGCAAAAGTATCTGGAAGGGAAAAAGCAATACCATACTATTGCATGATGGCGATGGACAGGGGAGAATAATTTTTCCTCTCACTGCAGCTTCTCAGGAGTTGGCGACTCTCGTCCGACGCAAGTCTGCCTGAAAGGGGATGGGAATGTTTTTTACACACGTGCATCAAGTGGCGCGTGGTAGTGGAGAGGGTGAATTTCCACTCACCGAAACTTCTGAGGAGCTGTCCGAATTCCGATCCAAGTTTCTCTGTCAGGGAAATATACAATTTTATATTTTCGAATCAGGTTGGGCATTGGCGAAGGTTGAGGAAACGCCTTTTTATTCTCACCGAAGGTTCGCAGGAGTCGGCTTTTCTCCTCCGGCCCCAGGTTGTCTGGAAAGGAAGGAGATAATCGTATGTCATTGGTTCATTTTATTTATGATGATGCATCGTTTCCCTCTCACAAAAGTTTCTCAGGAGCATTTGTGTCACATCGGGATGTCTCTCTGAAAAAGAAAGACATAAAACAATATAAATTCATGAGATTAGACATAGAAAGAGAGAATGGAAAAGTCGCTTTCTACTCACCGTAGCTCGTCCGGAGTTCGCTTATACTGTTTACTCCTGGTTTGTCTGGAAGGAAAGGATATATTTCATGCAATCACATCGGTAAGAGAATATTGACTTACTACAAGGATGTCTTTTTTTCTAACCGAATGTTGCCAGGAGATTCAAGGTAGCGCCTGGTTCTTCGTCTGGGATAACAGGAAAGAATTAGATTTACTCGCATCCAATGAAGAACTATGATGGATGAGTGAAGACAATCCTTCCCTCTTACCGAAGCTTCGAAGGAGAGCTTCATTCTTGTCCGGGCCGAGTTTGTCTGGAGGAAAAAGAAATGTTTTGATGAACTGGATTGCATGGCGATGGACCGGAATGATCTCGTTTCGCTCTCACCGAAGCTTTTCAGGAGATCTTTGGTCTTAAAGAAGCCAGATTTGTCTGGAAATAATATATATATTTTGATGAGAGCTCGCATAACTCGGGGCGTGATCACGGACGGAGAGACGCAATTTTCCACTCACCGAAGCTTCTCAGAATCATTCGAGTCAACGCTGGCCGTTCATCTGGAAGAGAAAGAGATACTTTCAAATGATCGAATTGGTTCGGATGAAGTGATATCGGGAGGCGTCGTCACTTTCTCACCGAAGATTCTCCAAAGTTGGTTTCTCTCTTCTGGACCGAGTTTCTCTGAGGACAAGATGCACTTAGTGACCGAAGGGTCATTTACCGAAGTCATTAATTGACCGAAGGGTCAATTAATTGCGAGCTCCGAAGCCACGACAATAGAGTTAGTTTTAACTCTATATTGTAGCGTCTTCGGAGCTCGCAATTAATTTGAAAGATCCGTTTTGAGCAATGCTATTAAGTTCATTAAGTTGCAGGCACTTTACATTGTGCTGTAGACTGACATCCTGTTTTGTGACGTAATTGCCTCACAGAGATCCCCAGTTTCCACATATAATCAATGGCGTAAATATGTACTTTGGTAAGCATTTGTGCTGAGATTGAATGTACCACAAAAAAGTACTTTCCTTCAAATTATCTGATTCCTTCTTAACGAAACTGCAGATTTCTGTATCTGGAGGCAAGGTCAACAGGTCTAATCCATGTCGGGTAATTGGTGTTTGCTTATCCAAAAAAGCTTTTTCCTGCATCAGCCTGATGCAAGAAGTTGATCCACGAATCACAATGAACCCACATAGTTCAAATACTCTAACAACTAATTGAAATGGCCTCTAGAGATCTGATATTTTTTAGACACTCAAAGACGGCCCCTTTGAGAAGTCCTTTAAGGGAGAGAGAGAAAAGGAATCTGGTGGCATCAAAGGGCTTTGGCAAGTCCCTCTGCATTGTTCCATCTCACGACCTCGAAATTTCGCTCCATTTTTCTCCGCATCTCTTGGAACACGTCGGCCTCGTTTCCTCAGCGAAAACCTTCTAAATGACCGTTACGTGCGATTGGTATTACTCCACAGAGGTGATTGAAATTGGATTGTTGTGCATGTTTTCTCCGAGAATATTCATTCCACACCTTTGAAACTTATTACATATTTCATGATATAGAAGTACGAGCGTGCATTTCACGAAGATCGCCCATCTCCTTCTTGGTTTTGCTTTTTTTTAAGGCGATGAGTACATATAGCTCTTTCGGGGGGTATAATAATACAGAACGACAGAGTATGATGATGATGTAAAAACAGCGTATTCCTATTACCGAAGCTTCTCAGAAGTTCGGTTCTCTCGTCCGGTTGGAGCTTTTCTGGAAAAGAATGAGACTTTTTTGAAAAACTGCCATAACTTGTCATGAAAGATGAACGTGTGAGATAGGGATTTTCCTCTGACTGATGCTTCCTAGGAGCATCTCAACATCGTTGGGCTCAAGTTTGCCTAGAAGAGAGAGTTATATATATATTGATATAATCTCAATATGGTAATGGAGGTGATAGACGTCGATTTTCTCCTACCAAATTTTTCCAGGAGTTGGCGCATCTCGTCCGGTCCAAATTTACTTTGTGAAGAAACCGGTTCAAATAGGTCTGATAAAGAATGAATTTCGGCGCAATGACATCAACAGGGGTTCGGCGATGGATGCGGAAAAACGTCGTTTTTCCTCTTACCAAAGCTTCTCAATAGCATTACATTCTGGTCCGCCCCTAGTTTATCTGGGAGGAGAAGAGGTTCTTTCAGACAGATGGGACATGGCTATGGTAACAGATGAGTGGGTATTCTCACCGAAACTTCTGAGGAGTATGCGTCTCTCATCATGTCCAAGTATCTCTGATATGAAAAAAATTACATTTATATAAAGTTCCATCACATGATTCACGAGGGCGATATTTTCTTCCACTCACTGAAGATGCTCAGGAGCTTTGCGATCTCGTCAGGTCCTAGCAAGTCTGGAAGATAAATATTTACTAGGGAGTTTGTTTTTGGCAAACAAACTCGCTATGGAAGCGCCTTCGGCGCCATATGACCAAATAAATTTGATACTACATTCATAGCATTTGTTTTTGAAGCACATCCCTATTGATCGAGTCAGAAAGAAAAATGAACAAGCTTCATTTTCCTTTCTAAAAATTTATATTGGCCCAACGTGGTCCAAGTTATTAAACTTCAAATTTGGGGCGTTTTTTGGCCCACCCTGTATATTAGGTGCATATTCAATAATGGATTGTGGTAATGGTACTTCGTTTTCCGCTCACCGAAGCTTCTCAGGAACACTTCGGTCCTGTACGATCCAAGTTTATCTATAAGGGAAAGAGACATTCTATTTGATCTTCATCAATGGGAGAGGTTAGATGAGGGATGAGAGACATGAGGAACAAAAGAGATGAGATGGTGAGATGAGGAGGTGAGGGAGGCATCGTTCACTTACCAAAGCTGGTCAAAAGTGCGTGCTTCCTATCCGTCCCAAGTTTGCCTGGAAAGAAAAGAAATATTGCCATATAATCGCGTTAAAATGGGTCATGTTTATTTTTTTTTTTTGGGCGGGGGGGAAGATAGTTTTCCTCTCACTGAAGCTGCTCAGTAGCAGTTTAGTCTCATGTGGCGCAAATTTCCCTGGAATGGATAGAAATACAATGATATAACATAATCGTATCATGATGCTGGATGGAAGAAGCTTTGTTTTCCACTGACCGGATCTGATAAGAATTTCAGTCTCATCCACTTCTTCACCTGTAAGCGAAGAATATATTTTTTATATTGTCACGTCATATGGAAGAATGTGATGAAGACTGCAGAGTCCTCATTCACTCCTCTCACCAAAGCCTTTCGTGAAGTTGTTCACCTCGTCCGGCCCAAGTTTGTCTGGAAGGGAAATATATATATATTTTTTTTTAAGTCGTTATATGGATGAGCTACTATTGAACCAATGGGGACGCCGTATTCCTCTCACCGAAGCTTCTCAGGAGCATTTCAGTCTCGAATGGCCCAAGTTTCTCTAAAATGGAAAGACTTTGCACTCTTTAGAAATTTGCAAATACGATTCCTGCCAAAAAAATCGACCAGAAGGAATTGAGCAGTCTGAATTTCATTTGGTACACAATCTCCCAGTACTGCACCATGACATTGATTAAACCAAGAGCGTGGTATGAGTGTTCACAGAGAAAATTTTCAAAATACTCAATATGAACACTTTAGTCGCAATGGCTCTGGCGGCCAGTTCCCGTTGCGGGCAGCAAATGATCATTGGCCATCACAATCGTTAGTCCCTTTGCTATTCACTAGGCAATCAAGTTATACCTTATTTGTGCAACTTCCAAACTACCAAATACAGAACCCTCCCATATTCAAGACTTTCTCTGAGCATTCTGAGACTTTCTCTTTTCTTCTTCTCTAAGTGATAAAGCACATCAATTGTGCTTAAATGATTAATAGGGAGAGAGTGGGGCGTACGACTCGCCAAAAAAATCTTACTAATGAAGATTTTACTCATCAAATTTCGAACTGGAACCCTTTAAAATATATAGATGTTCAAGCAAAATTTCAAAGTCATAGAATTAGGTGATGCAGAGAAAACTTGCAGCACGCCTGAGAAGTGGAGGAAGAGGGCGACGCCATCAAAGACAACTTCCTTTTCTTTTCCAGTCAAGTCCATCAAGCTTCATGGATTTCACTAATGCATTAGCACGTTCATGCATCCAAATAATCTCTATCGATCGAACGCTCGATAGGTTGAAGTCGGTTTCAGAGACATAGGGTGACATGGACCAATTGAAGTATCACATTAATTTACAGACAAGATGAGCACGTTTACTCAAACATTCTCAAGAATGTTTGAGTGAATGTGTTTATCTTTGACGTGCACCACGGAAACTCAGATCATGAACGCATTTATCCACGTTTTAAACACTTTTCAAGGCGGACGGGTTGCATTTGGAAAGAGAACGATGAGTCTTGTGCCAGCTGATGCTCTATTGTCTGCACCGAGTTGGCGACAGTGTCCTTTGAAAGACGAAACCTTCAGAATTCGTCTCAGACAGTCTTATCATTTTCGCCCTTGCTCGATGATGGGAGGCAAGAAAAGAAAGCCCCCTCTGGCAAATTAGCATGCTAAACTGCCTCTGAGAATCCAGTTAGGGAGTTAAACCTGCAAATGAAAATAGTTTATATTTCAAGATTATTTTATGAGAAGTAAACTGATTTCATTTGGTGCATGTCACAAATCAGTTTAACAATGAGTTGAACTCTTCATCAAACAAATTTTACTCGAATCAAAACAGTTAAATTCCTAAAGCAATGTTTTGCATGCAACACATTACCTCATACTTAAATCGAAAGAGGCCGAAAGTTGTCTGTCTGTTGGTCACTCGTAACGGCGAGGCCTACGATGCTATGCCATTCTAGGCCCTGGGCCAGGCCATCCACCGCCTAAAGCGCCAGACCCACAAAGCTCTGCCATTCTTGGCCATAGGCTTGGCCATATAAATTGAAAAGCCGAAAGCGGTGGTGAATGGTCGTCACTCATCTGCAGCCCAACATGCAAGGCCTAAAAGGCTATGCCATCCTAGGCCATAAAAAATTCGATATACTCTTAATCTACTTTCAAAAGACTCATCTGTAGATGGCGATTACTGCAGGGTGCGTCTTAATATTTCTAATGTTAATTGTTTTGAATTAATCATTATTATTTTATTTTATTATTTTATTTTATTTTATTTATTATTTTATTTATTTTATTAATAAATAATTATTATTTATTAATAATTATTATATTAATAATAATAATTAATGTTAATTGGTTTGAACCGAACTGCTCACTATCGTTATGAAAACATTTTCAAACTTCCGCCCATAAGACGGCCAGCGTAGCGGCTGCAGGCAGCTAGTCTCGGTATGAAAAGTAACCATGAGTGGAGCCGCCCCTTCCTCCGTTCATCGGGCGTTAGCGAACGCCTAATGGGTCGCTGTGCTGCTGAATCCAGAGACCTTGACCCCTCTCGTCTCTCTTGCACGTCTTTAAATCCACGTTTCTGGAATGAAATCTTTCATGGCGAGAGTGCTGGGCAATTCAAACGATCACGTCGCCCCATTCGAGGTGGAATGATTGGCAAATTCTTTTCGGCAACTATTCTTCATATGCCGCGGAACACAAGTTACATTCCGCGACGTACTACTACAAACTTGAGCACCAAATGCCATCCAGATTTTTCAACTCTTTCTTAGTTGTCCTTTTTTGGACAGGACATGGTAATAGGCAGGAAATATGTTATTTCCCTCTTACTGAAGCTTTCCAAGAGCTCTTCAGTCTCATCTAGCCCAAGTTCGTCTGGAAAAAAAGTCAGCATATTGCAATAA